TGGGAAACGTAGTCAGAGGCTGACGCCATGTGAGACCACAAAGGGGTAAGAGGTCCAGACCTTCTCCGGTAAGATAAGATAGGTGGAAATACATAGATTAATAGAAATGGGTTAATAATTAAGACAGAGATAGCCAGCGAGAAGCCCGAGTCACCCACCAACAGTTCAATAATTAATATATTGTCTATGTGTTCATTTGGGGCTGACACAGCTGGGGGGCAGGCTGGTGGGAAAGAGTGCTCCTAACAGTTAAGAGCACTTGCTACTCTTCAGAGCATCCAGGTTTGATTCCCAGAACCCACATGGTACCTCAAAACAGTAACTCCACCTTAGGGGATCTGATGCCCTCTTCTGGCCTCTCTCAGTGCCAGGCATGCATGTGTTGCACAGACGTACGGGAGGCAAAGCACCCACATAAAATAAAAAATAGTAACAATAATGGCAGACAAATGTTGAATATTTGTACACTGTGTGAAAATGCATTGCTGTGATTGGTATAATAAAAGCCGAACAGTCAATCGCCAGAAAGAGGTGAGGTAGGACTTCCGGGGACAGAGAGGACTCTAGGAAGAAGGGTGTAGTCTGGAGCCAGACATGGAGAGGAGACAGGAAGTGTAAGATGGAAGAGAGGTGACGCCATGTGACAGAACATGAATCAAAAAACGTGTGTTAAGTTATAAGAGCTAGTTAAGACAAGCCTAAGCTGAAGGCCAAGTCTTCCTAATTGATAATAAATCTCCAGGTCATTATTTGCTTGTGGGCTTGCTGTCCAAAGATAGTCCAACAAGAAAACTCTCTGCAGATCGATAGCTCTTAAGGAGCAAAGTTCATGGAATGTGGTAAATTTCCAGCCAGGACCAGGGGAAGATTTTTGTTCACTCTCCTCTCCATCTTTCTACTTTCTTGATGTAGTCAAGCAGGAGAGTACCTAGCATGTGCCAGGCCTGGAGTTTGTTTTCCAGTACCACAAAAAATAAAAAAGAGTATAGATAGAGGGATTGGGAATTGGATCTCATAGACGTTCGCAGGTCAAGTTTGAGGAAAGCAGAACAGGCTGTAATAATAAACACAGCCCCTGGTTCAGAATGATTGAGAATTTCAAGACAGTGAGATCAAAATATTTAACCAATTGTATTTGTCAGTCTGTAGCTTTCTGGCTGCTGTGGCATATCTTCTGCTGTGCCTCTGTTCCCATGCCAGGCTAAATATCACCTCAATGGCTCTCTGGGCAGTTTAGCCGGTTCAGTGCAGGCTCTACTCGCTCAGTCTCTCACATGGGGGGTGGAAAAGGTTTATTTGGCTTTCATATCACTTGTTACATTTACATATCACTGTTCTTCATTGAAGGAAGTCAGGACAGGAACTCAACAGGGCAGGAGCCTGGAGGCAGGAGCTGATGCAGAGGCCATGGAGGGAGCTGCTTACTGGCTTGCTCCTCAAGGTTTGCTCAGCTGCTTTCTTATAGAATCTAGGGCTACCAGCTCCCACCATGCTCTGGGCCCTCCCCCATCAATCACTAATTAAGAAAATGCCTTATAGCCAAATCTTATGGAGGCATTTTCTTAATTGTGGTTCCGTTCTCTCAGATAACTTTAGCTTGTGTCAACTTGACACACAGTGAATTGATTCACTGATGAGGTTAATACCCTCATGATCCAGTCACTGCTCAAACATGAGTTTTGGGGGCACATTTCATAGCACAACCATAATGACATACAATGGTAGGGGCCTGTCAGTGCAGGAGTGATCAAATTGTGAGACAGAAAGCCAGAGGCAACCAGAAGTCTTGGGTCGGTGTGACCTAAAGTCATGAAAATGCACGTAGGCCTTCCACGAATCCTTCTCTTAAGTCCTGTGGGTGTGGTACTCCAGTGACCTATGACCCTCCTCCCCCTAGGCTCATATCTCCATACACTCATAATGGGAGCCTAGCCTCTAACACATGAACCTTTGAGGGTCATATTCAAATCATTTTCAAACCTTAGCATCAAGCCTGAGGCCCTGTGAGACCGCACAGGTCACAGGACCATGAAGCCACTCTGGTGTGAGCAACAAAGGCCAGCAGATAGAGACCTGGACGATCGATGCTAGCTCCCTTTGTCTGGAAGCCAAGTGCCATGGTCTGGATAGCTTAAGCTTTTCTTTTTTCTTTTCTTTGTTTTTGGTTTTTTCGAGACAGGGTTTCTCTGTGTTGCTTTGGAGCCTATCCTGGCACTCGCTATGTAGTCCAGGCTGGTCTTGAACTCACAGGGATCCGCCTGCCTCTGCCTCCTGAGTGCTGGGATTAAAGGTGTGTGCCACCAATGCCCACAGCTTAAGCTTTTCTATGGACTGGATATTTGCACTAGTTTTGGAGGGTTGTAGGAGATAATGGGGTCATAACCTTTGGAAGGGGCAGGTCTCATTTTCTGTTATAACAAAATACTTCAAACTGGGTGCCTTATTTTAAAAAGAGATGATTTAACCCACAGTTTTGGAGGTTCAGGAGGACGATGCTATAATCTGCTCAGCTCTGGTGAGGCCTCAAGGAAGAGGGTGCCATAGGGGTGCAGGCACATGAGAGAATAGCTGTTGGAAAGAACTCAATGAATCCAATACGGCCTGCCCTAAGATCTAACTGAATGGTGTGATAGGCAAACAGCAAAGTCGTTCTGAGACACAGGCAAGAGTAGAAGTTAAACAGCAGGAAAGAGAAGGTAAAGGAAACACATATGGAGTGAGTTGCTGGCACAGATACCGTGGGTTAAAAGGGAAAGTTCTCAGCTCATTCTAGCTCTCAGATTCCACATGCTGCTGTTTGGCAGAAAGGAAAACAAGGCCTTTGGTCTCTTTGGCCTCAGTGGTCATGTGGTTCTGATGTGTGTGTTGGGGGAAGGGGTTGTAAGATTTCTAGATAGTTCCCTGGGACACATGAGCTCCGTAGTAGCCTTTCTTGTTCCCTCATGACCAGTGTGTCCTGTCTTGTTAATGCACCTAGTGGTTACTGGGAAGGTGGCCGAGCCTTTCTTTCGGCAGCAGGAAGGTACAGGCAGAGCAAATGAGAGGCAGTAGGAAGAAAGCCAGCAGCATCTCGGCCCCCAGTCAATGACTTAGCCAGTGTGAAAACCTGGTCCCAGCCGCAATTTCCCACAGACTGTACGAGCATCTTGTACCCTGAATTCCTTCTACTCCCTGTCCACCCAGTCACTCTGAGAAGGGGACAGCCTGTTTTCTAGATTACCATGTTCCCTCCCACCACAATGCCACTGAGGTTGTGAGGGGAGGAAGAGCAAAGAGCAGAACTGTTCCATTCCCACTGTGGATCTTTTGGCCCACAGGTCAGCCAGTGATTAGGGAGGGAACAGTTTGCCTTGGATATGAGGTTGGCGTCTTCACCCAGACGTGACAGAGGTTTTTAATATCACAAAGTGACCAAGGAAGTTATGGCATCTGTCCAGGGTATTGTTAATGGATCTCTACCCAGCAGGGGTGGCAGAGCCACAAGGCCCAGCTGAGGAAAAAAAGAAAATCATTTCCTGTGGTCCCTTGTGGAGTTGAGGCTATTCAGTAACCCTGTTAGAGCTGATGAAGGGTTTCCTAGGACTCAGGTTGCATCACTGTGCATTTGTGTTCAGTCCCCCTGCATTTATAAATTGTTAGTTGAGGAGTGGCCAAATGGTTTCCCAACAAATCGAAGGCCTGAGATTTTAAATGAGGAGCAGAGGTGAGTTTCTGGATATAGATACAAGGACATTAAATATGTCAGCTGTCGTGGTCTCTCTTTTATCCTGCTATGCTCTCAGGGTTTCCTCGGTCTTAAAAAATTACACAGAGAGGTGTCAGTGACACAGTCTGTCACAGATTCTCTAACAGTGATGTGGAGAAGAGAAATCATTGGAATAAAACGTGTTCACAAATGACTTGTTACCTTGGCCCACTTGTCAATCGTCAATTTTCACCGTATTATCTGTCAGGTGACCCTTCTATTTAATTTTGTTTTTCGAGACAGGGTTTCTCTGTGTAGCTTTGTAGACCAGGCTGGCCTCAAACTCACATAGATCAGCCTGCCTCTGCCTCCCGAGTGCTGGGATTAAAGACATGCACCACCACCTTTCGGCTCTATTTAATTTTTTAACAAGTGTAATTGTGCACATTTTTGTGTGTGCATGTGTCTAATTAGGAAATTTCATGCAGGAAGAATCTCCATGTAATAGAGAGATATGTCTTTGTACAATATTTTTTGAGTGTAATTTTTTTTCCTTTTTTTAGCAATAGGATTTTCTCTGTGCGTGAGAACAGTGAGGGGAGAAGACCCAACCTCCTGTCATCTGCATTGCTGGAAATGTAGCCCAGGCTTGACCTCGGAAAGCACCAGGCTGTCTGACGGGGCTCTGCAGACCTGAGGGTATCCTGCTGAAAGGAGGGAACACAGAAACAGACCCAGGGAGCTGCGCCCCTGGTGGGTCCTAGGTAGGCCTCATAGCTTCACTGGAGACCCGGAGCTGGCTGGGAGTCAAGGCTGACTGCATCTCATCTACCCATAGTCAGCAGCTGGACGACTGAGCCAGAGCTGGAGGTGGGTCCTGGACAGTAAGTGCTGGGCTGGGCTCAGCAGGCTCCCACAGTCCTAGTGACACAGGCAGGAAGTGCTCAGTGCTGGAGGGGGCATGGCGAGGAAGGGGCACGGGTGTGATTTTATACTGTGTAGTCATGTAGTTCAGTCTCTCTTTCTCACTCCTCCCCCTCCCTCCCTCCCCCCTCTCCCTTCCTCCCTCCCCTCCCTCTCCCATTCCTTCCCTCCCTCCCTCTCATTAGAAAGAGGCTTCTTTATTTACAATATTGTTTTATTCTGATAAAAGTTATTTCAACTTTACATTACAAATATTTTTGATTTAGTTAATAACCATCAACATAATCCATACTGATGGGAAAAATTGATGTTCTTCCTTGCCAACATCACGGAGCTGCTTAGGCTACAGGTCACAGCGTCATAACATCTTGAAGGATGGGTTCCAGGTTTCCTATTTTTCGTGTTTCCCTTCTTCATCGTCTGTTTCCATGAATGCTTGTCTCCTTAAATGTAACAGGACAGAGTGTTCTCATCTATCAGAGCACTAGCAAGCAAAGTACATAACGATACAGCCCATCCTGGGTGTGGAGGTACACTAGTCTCAGCAGGTGGAGGCAGAGGCAGGAGAATCTCTGTGAGTTTGAGAACAGTTTGGTCTACAGCCAGTTCTAGGCCAGTCATATCTACACAGTAAGATGATGTCTCACAAAAAATCAGCTTGTGATTACTTAGTTATACTTTGGGTATTGGTATGTTTTGAATTTGAAATGGGCACTTACCGTTGACTTGGTTCCCCAAGTCTATCTCATATTATAACCCAGGGCTTCAGCAAAAATAGCAGCAGTTCTCCATCTCCCAATGACTGAGGCCCCAACCCATGTCTGGGCCCTGTTTGTCTGCATTTTGTTCACATTCTACCCTCTGCCCTTGTCTCAACCTCTTCCTTGTTCTTGGTCCTGCTAAATTGATCTCAGCTCTCCATGTCTGGCCTTGCTTCAGTGCCTTTGTTTATGCCCAGCATTTAGTCTGGAAATGACCCCTATCCTCCCTACAATCTCTGCATGTTTAGAGTCCAGTCACCTTCCAGAGGAAATGTCACTGGGTTCCTGCCCACAGATGTACTCTCCATAGTGCCTCTCCTGTGACACTCATTCATTTTCTCCAATACCCAGGACTTGCCAGGGGGCATTCACAGGGCTAGGCAGTAGATACAATGATGATATTTGTAGAAATGAAAGTCTATTAAAGGTAACTGATCCTAAACATATAAATTAGAAGTAGTAAGTTTCTTGGAAACAGTAAATGAGATGTATTCTGAAACAGCTTCTCTGATTAGGTGACAGAGTTTGCAGCCCCACCTCCTTCAGTCCTTAACTTTTTTTTTTTTTAAAATATATAGTCTCTACTAGTAACAACACTTTCTAATATAATGTAGTAGCTGACACTCTGATTTATATGCAATGGATAACAAATATTTGTTAATTAATAGAAAGAATGGTTGTAGGAGGATTCATTTATAAAATAAGATGCAGAAAACAGAGAAAACTTTGATTAAAAGTTGGGCAAGAATGGTGGTAGCTCTGTGGTAGAGAAACTGTGTAGGCCCAAATGCATAAGGCCCAGATTTCATCTCCCACACCGTCCCCAAAAAATGTTGCTGGGGGAAAAAATTCCCCTGCATTTGCCATCTGATTGACATGGTGGTTGGTGTCTCTTGGACTGGGGAACAATTCTCTCTCATGGGAATTGTATTTTAGAGAGATGTATCAATGAACAATATGTCATAACTTAAATCTGTAATCTTGTCATTGCATGGACCTAGTAGATGGTCTACAGAGTTGTCAGCCTGATGGTCACATGTGGCTTGGTCTTCTTACACCTGTCCTCGAAGAGCTCAGGTGTTATTTGCCTGTGATGCTATCTTTGTCCTTCTGAGAAGCTAGCTTTGTTAGCAGTCCATTGTGACAGCAGGGGACACACACTTTTTAGTTCTCTGACCAGATAACTGGCCAGCTTTCCTACACTTACCTAGCTTGCTTTCCATCAGGACTCTGGATTTCTTGATGCTGGCAAGTCATAGCATAGAGCAACTCGCTGGTGGCCAGCGAATGCAGGGATCTCTGTAACAGATGACTCAGTGTCTTGGGGATGCTTCTGGCTGTTGTTCTCCCAAATCTTTGTGGCAGACTGGGAACGCGGCTCAAGGTCATTGCTTCCATGTTGGCTCGTGCCCTGGGACTTCTTTCCTCTTCCAGGGTCCTCCCAAATCTCAGGGGCAGGTTGGCTGCTGAGTGGGGCACTTTGTTGGCAGGGGCTGGGCTCATCTTAATAACATTCTTTGCCCCCCAATCTTTTAGTTCTTGAAAAGTGACACTTCTTTCCTTTTCCCCTTTTGGGATTCCTCTAGGCTATAATTAGAAATGGCAATTAAAATAATTTATTATTATTACAAGCCATAGATTAAACTGTAAATTAACTTAAATCCAGACTTTAATCTGCAGACTTGCTCTAGCTATAAACAAAGTTTGTGTTCCTATATGCAGAATTTTTAAATAAATAATTTGTATTAAGCTTCTTAAAGCAATCTAGTTTCTCTGTCCCTTGACTATTATAAGACAACTATAAAATATTAATAAAAATTATATATATATGTATATATATAGTGAGTGCAGCAGTATGTATAAGCAGCAGGAATATAATGAAGTATTCAAATGAGGCGAAAGTTTATTTTATTACAGTCATTCTCTTTCAGGTTTTTGATTCATATTGTTTATGGGATGTTTTTATATGTTTATATTATGACTTTAGAGGAAACTACCATTCCCTCTGCAGGCCCTTGTATTTTACCTCCCGACCTTAAAGGCCAAGTTGCTCACAGAATTGGATCCAGCCAGGATACGGTTCTAGGCAGTCCCACTGAGTTTCTCTGTTTACTCTGTCATAGTCTGAGTTCCACTCTAAAACCATGTTTCAAAAAGCCAGCTGCTCTTTAATTAGACTACAAATGACATTTTGAGCGAAGAGTTCATTTATGAATTACTGTACCTCCAGCAAACCTACTTATCCAACCCACATGAAGTGCAGTGGATATTTAGTTAGACTTGGTTCTACCTTGAACATTGGACCACATTAAAGAACTTAAATAATTCGTTTCTGACTATAACCTGAGTGATCATACTAACCAGAAACTTCGAAGAATATACAAACACTGAGAATAAACATAACTTGCAGTTCCCTGACGTAGGGATGAACAGTGTACCTAGATTTAAAGACAGCACAAACTTACCAGCTTGTAATTGTTGAGGAGAAAGTACAGATGCTGTGTTTGTGGCGCAGACTCCCAGCTGGGGTGCATCCAGATCTTATTTCTATTTCTCTTTATTACAACCGATATGTACTAATTCACCCTTTCCTTACTAAATATTATACACCGGGTGTACTGCACTTGTCATCAGAGAGGCCAGGTTGATTGCTATTGTGTTACATTTTACAAAGTGACATCATGTATTGTCACAGAAGAGCAGAAGTGTGACAGAAAACCAAAATTAAAAACAAAACAAATTACAAACTTTTTTTTTTTTACTTAGTCTCTGCAGAAGCATTAGATTCAGGAAAATAGTGTGTTCATGTATATATGTACTGAATGTCATTTGTATTAGTGTATATGTATAGAATGTCAGTTATATTGGTGTATGTATAGAATGTTAGTTACATTAGTGTGTACATATAGAATGTCAGTTACATTAGTGTGTATGTATAGAATGTCCATTGTATCAGGTAGATTTTAAGACTTACCTGGGAATACTTGCCATCCTTTTCTTTGCTGTGACAATGGGGCACCATTAATTCATCTGTACAGAAGATGTTTGATGTCAGTAAGCTTGAAGTGGCTAAAGTCAACAAAATGAATCGTTTTGATGAAATAATTTCCATTTTGTCTAAATCCAAAATTGAGTTAATATGTTCAGCCTGGTGTCTATGAGCCTAGGAGAAGGGATCTCACAGTGTTTTTATACCATAACAGATGAATTCCACACATTTTAAGTAGTAATATTAATTAGAGTGTGTAACTAAAATATGCACGTAAGGAATGAGTTTAATTCATCCTGGGGGACAGCGATGTCTATATTTGCAAATCCATTGCCTTTGAAAAGATCCTTCCTCATTAGGAAGGCTCTCTTAATTAGGTGAGATTGGGGCACCCAGTCATCAGGATTCCAAACAAATAGGCTGTTTTATTTTTCTGAGCTTTAACAAGAAATCTTTTGTTTTTGGTGCTTTTGTTAGTTGTTGAGGGAAGCTTAAAAGGAAAAGGGGGGATTCAATACACATTAGCTGTGTTTTAAAAGATTCAGACAAAGGAGTTAGGCATAATATTTTCAAAATGTCAAACCAAATTAAGAATGTGAAAAAAGTTGTAAGTCACCATAGTATCCCAACAAAATGCCATGGATTAATTATTTTTGTAAAATGTTGTTTGGTTACTACAAAGCTCCAAGAGTAAATGTCAGCTGTCAGGTGGATGAGCAGCAGAGAGAATGTTCAGGAGGCCTTTTGGGAGACAGTTCAACTACTTTGTTATCTGCCTTAAGGGTCTAATTTGGCAAATGTGTATAAATCACCAGGATTTTATTTCTATAAAGACACCATGTCCTACCTTCCTGCTCAAAATCTGTAAGTTAAAGAATCTAGCAGGGGATGAGTTAGTCATACACATGCTCCGTTTGTTGCTCCCAGGGCCCATATTATTTAGGTAATCTCACTTTGCCACAGGCATACTGACATCATGGCATTAAAAGAGAATTTATAGAAATAAGTGTGTATTTACTGAAATGCCACAATGAGCCCCTTTTGGAGTAGGTGACTGGTATTCTTCAAGATTTGCCTTATCACCAGACCCAGTGTTCCAGAGAAGCCACAATGGGTCCCATTAGACCGGTTGTTCTCCTAAGAGAACTAGACCTCACATGAAGATTCCAGACAGAGGCACTCAGAGTGACTTGATAAAAACGTCTGTCATTGCTTTGTGCTCTCTCTCTCTCTGCTCTCTGCTCTCTCTAACCTCTGTAGATAACTCGAGGTTATGAGAAGGCAGAAGTGACCACTCTTCTCCATCCTGAAGATCTCTACCTAAGCCAGAGTAAGCAGTAGGTGAACTCTCCATGGCCTTAATTCCACATTTGCCTGTGACCTCTCAAGGAGTTGACTTTGTGGGCTTCATTTGTTTTGGTCTGTGGTGGCCAAGAATCCCCACAGTAGGAGGCAATTAATTCAATTCATAGTCTTGTGTTAATTTTGTAATGCTGTTATTGGATTATTTGGGTTTAATTTCCCTTAGGATTGAATATACTTCTCTTCCAAATTGTTCTTTTGTAAACTGCTGATGGAACTTCGCTTTTTGTGGTCAGTAGATCCAAACTTTTGAGAAATGGATGAAACAAGGGACAAGGTTTATTTTATTTTTTTCCTTCAAGTTTACACCCTGGAAAAAGTAGGCACCACCCAGGGTCTCTAAAATTTGGTTTGTGTCTAGTCCTCTTCAAAGAATGCAGAACTTGTAAGCAGGCCACCAGTTTTAGCGGTGCTGAGGGTGTGGACACATGAGTTAGAGGTTATTCTAGTCAACGTCTGGAGGGACCCCTGTGGCTAGCTACCCTCCTGCTCCACCAGATTAGGTTTTCCATTCTAATAATCCTGCTAAGATGGAAGTTGGCTTTTTCCCATCATTTTTTTTTATTTTAGCATTGAGAAGTTTAGAAAATAGAGAACTACACTATACATTGCACAAAACTACCATATACCATTGGCAAAATGTACCACTGGATACATGCATATGGATTTAGAAGTCTGGGACTTCTTAGTGAGATATACAGACATACAAAATATACTTATGTTTCTTGCTGGTTTGTGCTATTTGTGTACATGCTTTACTTTTAAGTTCTATTTAGAGATTACAAAAATATTGTGTGTGGAGGTCAGAGGACAACTTGGCTGCAGTCAGTCCTCTCCTTCTCCCATCTAGGTCCTGGGGAACCAACTCAGGTTGTCAGACTTGGTGGCAAGTGCCCTTACACACTGAGCCATCTCCCCCGCCCCAGAGGATTAGTTTTAAAGGGGAAAAGACACACACTGGAGTTGAAGTAGAGTATCCAGGGAGAAAGCAAACCATCGAGATTCAGATCATATTGGAGAAGATATGGGTGACAGAGAAATTTGCCACTGTCTCCGGGTCAATGCTTGCCACACCACAAGTGTGAGACAGTCTGGGTACAGGTGAAGAACTGGGATATCTGTGAGACTCCTGGGGATTTTTCACTGGAATTTGATGTGGGTGAGCACCGTGGTACCCCCACATGCACCAGTGGAAGCTATCTACAAGAGAACAATGAAGCAAATGACCCTGAAGCCAGAGTTTTTTCTAGCACAATGTGCCTCCTTCAAAAGAGGGATGCTTACTGGGTCGGCCCCATGGCCTGGCATCATGTGCTCAAAAGTAGCTTTGGAGCTGAGGCACAGTCAGTAACTTGTACATTCACTACCATCCATCCAGTTGTCTAAGCCAGAATCCCCTGTGCCATCCTGGCTAGCCCCTTCCATTTGCTCCCACATTCCACTCTGAAGCTCATTATGTTGTTTCTAGATTTGAACATTGTACTCAATAGTAGGCAATATTTTTACACACTAATCACACACCAAGGCCTGTTCTAAGTACTTAGTGAATTTATTAACTTTCTTTCTATCCCATGGGAAGAACAGCTAAGGTTCAGATAGGGAATGGAGATGTTTATAGTGAATTTATTAGCTTTCTTTCTATTCCATGGGAAGAATAGCTAAGGTTCAGATAGGGGATGGAGATGTTTATATAGGTGTCAGACCCAGGAGTGGAACTCAGGTGTGGACAATTACTGATTATTCTAGTGAGGTCTGGTCTCTTCTAATGTCCATAGAGTTTTTCAGTTTGCTAATTTTTCCCCATCTCCATCGAAGTCATCATTTCCTCTGGCCAAGAACATTTACTTGTTTACATGCAAGTATGTGCTGGTGACAACAGAGGCCAGAGGAACGATAAGATCCTCTGGAACTGAAGTTAAAGACAGTTGTGAGCCCCAGTGTAGGCATTAGGAACGGGACCTCAGGTCTCTGCAAAGAGCAGCCTGTGCTCTTAATCAGTGAGCTGTATTTCCAGCCCCTTCCTTTTTTCTTCACTTTCTCCACAATGCAGTCATTTATGACTTTCCTAATACTTCCAATGGCTTCCCATTTACCTCCAAATCACTCAGAAAGCCCACACATTTATAACCTGTCTTCTGCTTGTTTCTCTGGCCTAACTCTTCCCTCATCTCTGCTTCCTAAGAACCCTTTCCCCTCAAATGGTTGCACTTTCTCTTGCCCAGTGCCCATGATATGCTTGGGGGACGGAGTATCTGTCTATTTGTCTGTCTCTTTCTCACACATAGTAAGTGCTTGGGTCTCAGTGGAGTCATCGCAAGCTGTGAAAAGCCACTCTTGGTGTGCAACTTGAAGGGCCAGCTCATTTTCCTTCCCTTACCTCTGCCCTTGCCATGACCACCCCTCTCCCCACCAACGTTCTATAGACTTAGAGAGCAGAGTAGGACTGTGCCAGTGAGGATCAGAGCATATTGTCTATTGCAAGGATACTCAGGAACATTCTATTTTGAAAATGAATGAATAATTTTCTGTTAGTATTGAAAGTAGGTGTTAAAGCTGGAGTGGTCTGCCCACTAGTTTTGTTCAGAATTTCCTCTTGACTATGAAAGAGGAAGCTCTTGACTAGAGCTTGAGTTTGCAGCTTTCTTGAAACCAGAAAGTGTTAATATTCTCATGTTGGACTGTAAGACTCTGAGAATGGGGCTCATCTCATGTTGAGATTCTTCCTGTTTGATCAGGTATGAAAGAGTTGAATATGGGATCAAGTGTAGGGTAGATTTTATTTTCAGCACTGGGGGCTCTGAACCTGATGCTTTATCCATTCTAGGCAAATGCTCTGCCACTCCTTCAGGCTTGTCCTGTTGCAGTCAATCACACATTGAGAAGATCAGTGGGCTCCAGTGGATCTTGCTGAGTTGATGGGAATCTATTGTGTTTAAACAAAAAGACACTGCCCAGCCCCAGGGAGGGCTTCCTGGAAGTGCTCAGGCTCTCCCACGGAGCAGCAGACTTGGGTAGAGGGTTTTTTGCTTATTATCTTTCTATGCCTATTAGATACTTTCTGCTCTCTGGCAAGTAATAATCATGGGGAACAAATAATTTCAACCAATGAGGAATGGAAGTGACCCAAGTTCAAAAGGTGGTGTTCTTACTTGGGCTTCTGGTAAAGAACTTAAACTCAGAGATTATTTGTGCACCATGGCCTGCACATATTTTAAAACTTTATGTTGAAGGGACATCTCACTTAACTCATAGAGGCAAGTTTCCTAAGCTACAGGAAAGGTCTACAAGGGTGGCCAATTTTAATGTCCAGAGGACCTGGTTATGGAGCCCTGTTCTCACTCCCAACCCAGCCATTTAGTTCTGGGCCATTTGCCTTTTTTAATGTTTACTTCTTCCCACCTAAGCTCAATCCAATTGCTGAGTTACACAGAAGAATGTATGGGTATTAGACACTTACTTTGTGTTTCATGTTTCCAAAGTGTTTTGCAACCATCTGTTAACTTTTGGCCCTTTTAAGTGGGGTGGGAGGTGGTATTATGGTATATTATTAATTTCACTATTACGTATGCCAGAGAGAGTAAAAAATACCTGTCTTTGTTCCAAGTAAAGCACCATGTACAAACTGTATAAAATTATTATTTAAAAATGTAATGATAGTTCCTCTGTTTGTGAATTATGAGTCTCTTGTTATAATGAACTTGCCATAATTTGATTGCAGGACTGTATTTATGTCTTGGCTTTCTCTGTGACAGATGACAATG